AGGACAGGTGCGTGCATTCCTGGGTTGCAAGACGGCCAGCAGGTAGTCCCAGGACCGACATAGCAGAGGAGGGCTGACTCCCACAGTTGTCCTGACCTTCACACATGTGGCAGCATGCCTGCCTTTCTGATAGATAAAATGAAAAAGGAGAGAGAGAAAGCTCTCCTGAAGAAAGCTGTCAGATGTGGTGCATGGGAAGCTGGAGACGCTGCTGACGCTGGTGAACCTGAGGGCACATTCACTGTGAGCTCATTCCACCCCAACAACCTTCTCGGGGTATCTCAGGTGGCTGTGGGATAAAACCCACTTTACCGAGAGAACAAACTCTGAAGAGGTGCAGTGACTTGCCCAAAGTGAGCCTATTCAGGCTCTATCTGCTGCCACTTCCAGGACAGGATGGGGCCCGGGAAGGCAGACTGTAAACTACACCCAAGAGCCCAGCTCTGGGTCTGGCAAGAACACTCAGTAGCTGCTGCTGGGAGGAAAGGGAGAAGGTAGATTGGGGAGCATTCAGAGTTTAATTAAGGTGACTAACACTGTATTCAGGCAGGTGGGACTGGTATTTGCTTACAGCAAGGAAAAAGTTGCCCAATGGGCTGAGCATAGCAGTGTATGCCTTTAATGCCAGCACTCGGAGGCTAAGGCAAAAGGACTGCTGTGAGTTTGATGCCAGCTTGTGCTGTATAGTGAGCACCAGGCCAGCTAGGACTATACAGAAGCTCTTGTCTCAAAACACCAGAAATTGCTGGGCAGTGGTGGTGCATGTCTTTAATCCCAGCACTTGGGAGGCAGAGTTTGAGGCCAGCCTGGTCTACAAGAGCTAGTTCTAGAACAGGCTCCAAAGCTAGAGAAACCCTGTCTTGAAAAACCAAACCAAGCAAACACAAAATACCAGAAATTGCCCTGTGGGAGCTGTGCTATGGCTGGCTGGGATGAAGGGGAGGAGCAGGGTGAAGCTAGATCTCAGCAAACAGCAGGAACTATCTATCTGTCCTCAGCCCCGTTCATGAGCACCTTGTTCTATAGCCCGCTCTGCCCACCAGCAACTTCCTCAGACAGCAACGGGGTCAGCAGCTGTTACAAGGAGAGTGCAGGACTCCAGACAACACAAGACCCCAGCAGAAAGGGCAGTCAGATCTCTGTGAGTTCAAGGCCAGCCTGGTCTGTAGAGCAAATTCTAGGACAGGCTTCAAAGCTACAGAGAAACCCTGTCTCAACAACAAAAAAAGTAGGGGCAGACTCTCCCATGTAGGATCTATACAAATGGGCTTTGTGGCTTACATATTGGTATATTGTGAATGTGGTTGGTCTGAGATGCTTACCCATAATCCTACTGCCTCCAGACCATGCAGGATTGAATTTCTGAAATCGAAAGCTAAGGAAGTGACGGGACATGATGGCTCCACCTGAGGGTAGCTCCATCCAGTTGGTCCACTCAGGTTTGTGTCCCCACCCCCCTGGCCACATGGGTATGTGACTCCTTGGCACTGTCCACAGCACCTTGGGGATCCTGAGTGTGGGTAGAGCGGGAAATCTGCCTTCATGATCTGCTCATGAGGGCTTGAAATAGGACACAACTGTGCCATGCACCCAGGGGTTGGTGATGTCTCCTTCTGCAGCTAAGGTACTGCCAGCGAATGGGGGAGCTATGGATCACACTGTGTGTGCTTTACCCGGCTCTACCACACTGTTACAGAGAGTAGCGGCTCTTAACAAGGCTGCAGGCTTGCTCAACAAGACAGCCTCTGATTTCTGAGGAACGCTGTACCAGTCCACAGAGGTACAGCAGGAGCTGGAAGGCACAGCTAACCGCACAGCATTCTCACTGAGTGAGGCAGAAGATGCTGAGGAGCTGTGTGCCTTACCTGCCTCTGGGAGCTCTTCTTCAGGAGACACCGCGGGGTTCTGTGCTGTGCTGAGGCCCTGTGTGGGCTCGGCAGCCACATCAGGCTGGAGGTTTCCATGGAAGCTTCCTAGATTCTGAGGACAGTGGATCTGGTTACAGGTGCTCAATGCCTCGGAAATCCCTAGGGTGGGGGTGCCCCTACCCAGATGACCTCAAAGGGAGGGCCTCTCAGGACAAAGACACAATAAGGGAATGGGGTTGGGACTAGGATCACCCAGGCCCAAGCTGAGGGAGAGAAATGAAACACCAGACACCCACAATAGCAATAACAAACCAAAACAGGCCTCTAAACTCATCTTTCCAGGTTCTACCAGTGTCTGTGACCACAGAAGGTAAAGAGGCCATCCTATCACTATCTGTGCCTTTTTTTTTCTTTGGTTTTTCGAGACAGGGTTTCTCTGTGGTTTTGGAGCCTGTCCTGGAACTAGCTCTTGTAGACCAGGCTGGTCTCGAACTCACAGAGATCTGCCTGCCTCTACCGCCCGGCTTATTTTTTTCTGTAGTTAATAATTGTTCATGCAATTTCTCTCCTGTGTACTCTGTGCTGTTGATCTTTTTTACTTGTCTCTCTATGTTTTAATAGGCCTTTCTGTTGCAAGGTGATATCCTATTTACAGGGTACAGAAATGAGGTTAAGCTCCTGTTCATTTTCCTTCCAACATAACTTGGTGATTACATTATAATTCTTTATAATGGAATAAGTGTAGGGAGTACCAGAATTATATGAATATATTGTCAAAGAAGTGTACATTTACAATGTTGTAACTATCATGCTCCCTGTTGTACACATGTATGGACATTTCAGAATGCAGTGACCTATGATGATGTGCATGTTGACTTCACTCGGGAAGAGTGGACATTGCTGGATCCTTCCCAGAGGAATCTCTACAAAGATGTGATGCTGGACACCTACAGGAACCTCACTACCATAGGTAAGACTGAATTTTCCTTCAGGGTTTTAAATAAGGGGACAGTGTTCCTTGGTTTTTGATGTTGTTCTATAATTTGATTGAGAAAGAAGAATGAGGTGAATAAATCAGACATGGTTGTAAGGTGTACTTAAGGTAGTAATTTACATTTTGAACACTTTCAGTAATAAACTTTATATTTTTGACTATATTGTAGGATACAGTTGGGAAGACCATAATATTGAAGAACATATTCAAAATTCTAGAAGACAAGAAAGGTAATTACCATGTGCAAACTGATACAAATGTGCCTCTGGAGAAATTGTAATGTGTCCTGGAATTTTTATGCAAAAGCAACAGTGTAAATAAGCCCAGCTTCATGAGCATTGATGATTGTTAAATTCCCATTAAATCATATACCTCAGTTTCAAGTAGGTGAATTACATCTGTAAGACATTCTTTTAATAAACAAGGAAAGAAGGCCTTAACGATACCACCATTGAATCATAGCTAATTGAAAGCTATGCTGCAGAACTGCCAACCTATTTAGTCTCATATCACTTATATTAGAAAATGTATACATGTTGAAGAGGTGGTAAGTGCAGCTCTAGAACCTTCTAATAAGCTAACAGTCCACCGTAAACTAGTGTTCCTAATTGTCTTGCTGTGACTGTGCTAAGTTTAGTGAGATGGGCTGTTAGAGTCAAGGGTCAGGGGGCAGTTGTTATGGAGAAACCTTACTCTATACCATATGTCTATATCTGAAGTTTTCTATTTTTCTGCAAATACGTGAAAAATCTCATACACAAGAAAGATTCTGTAAATGTGAACTCTTTAATAAAGTATCTTATCATCATAGGTATCTTCAAACGTGAGAACAACCTGAAATTAAGGGGAACAACATGAGTGTAAAACCAGTAATAAAAACCTTGAGATCTTATTCCTCTTCATAGTTGGACTAAATAGTAAAATGTATTCATATAGATATAAAGAATCGACTGTGGTTTGAACATGATAAATCTTTTACATGTGTCAATTATTCTTGCAGGCCTGAACGAAATCATACTGGAGAGAAACCTTCTGTATGTAGTCAATATGTTAAAGTCTTTGCATATGACAGGCATCTTCAAAGGCATGAAAGCACACATATTGGAGAGAAACTGTATGAACTTAGTCTATGTGGTGGAGCCTGTGAACGTGATAGAAATCTTCAAATGAATGAAAGAGCACAGACTGAAGAGAAACCCTATGAATATAATCCATGGGGTGGAGCCTTTACTCCTCACAGTCATCTCCGAAGGCATGAAAGAACACAGACTGAAGAGAAGCCCTATGGATGTGATCAATGTGGTAAAGCCTTTGCACATCCTAGGAATCTTCAAATACATAAAAAAACACATAGTGGAGAGAAACCCTATAGATGTGATCAGTGTGGTAAAGCCTTTGCACATCACAGAAACCTTCAGTTACATAAAAGAACACATACAGGGGAGAAACCCTATGGATGTGATCAGTGTGGTAAAGCCTTTGCACATCATAGTAATCTTCAAATACATAAAAGAACACATACAGGGGAGAAACCCTATGGATGTGATCAATGTGGTAAAGCCTTTGCACATCCTAGAAATCTTCAGGTACATAAAAGAACACATACTGGAGAGAAACCCTATGAATGCAATCAGTGCACTAAAGCCTTTGCACAGCAAAGTCATCTTAAATGCCATAAAAGAACACATACTGGAGAGAGACCATATGACTGTAATCAATGTGGTAAAACCTTTACATGTCACAGTAGTCTTCAAATACATAAAAGAATACATACTGGAGAGAAACCCTATGAATGTAACCAATGTGAAAAAGCATTTGCTGATTTCAAATCTTTTCAAATTCATAAAAGAAGCCATACTGGAGAGAAACCATATGAATGCAATCAATGTGGTAAAGCCTTTACACAACACACTAATCTTCAAACGCATAGAAGAAGACATACTGGGGAGAAACCCTATGAATGTAGTCAGTGTGGTAAAGCTTTTGCATGTCACAGTAGCCTTCAGATACATAAAAGAACACATACTGGAGAGAAACCCTATGAATGCAATCAGTGTGCTAAAACCTTTGCACAAATTGGTCACCTCCAAACACATAAAAGAACACATACTGGAGAGAAGCCCTATGAATGTAATCAGTGTGGTAAAGCCTTTACTTCTCACAATGCTCTTCAAATGCATAAAAGAACACATACTGGAGAGAAACCCTATGAATGTAATCAATGTGGTAAAGCCTTTACACAACATGGTAATCTTCAAACACACAGAAGAAGACATACTGGAGAGCAACCCTATTAATATAGTTAATATCATAAAGCCTTTGAATGTCACAGTAATCTTCAAATGTATACAAGAACACATACTGGAGAGATACCGTATGAGTGTAATCAATGTGGTAAGGCATTTCCTCACCATAATGGTCTTCAACTACATGAGGGAACACATACTGGAGAGAAACCCTATGAATCAGTGTGGTAAAGTCTTTGCGTTAATCAGCAATCTTTGAACTTATCAGAAAAAGATGTACTGCGGATAAACCCTAAAAATATAGTCAGTGTGACAAAATTTTGCAGTTTATACAGGAGTAAACCTGTTTGTGTGCAATCAATCTATTAAAGCCTTTGTTTATTGCAATAGTCTTTGAGTGCCTATAAAATATTCTGAGAGCGCCGGGGGAGGCCGAGGCAGGCGGATCTCTGTGAGTTCGAGACCAGCCTGGTCTACAGAGCTAGTTCCAGGACAGGCTCCAAAGCCACAGAGAAACCCTGTCTCGACAAAAAAAAAAAAAAAAAAAAAAAAAAAAAAAAAAAATCTGAG